TACACTGCCCTGTCTGGGAGACAGTAGTGCATGTCTGATTTCAGCTGTCTGTTGGTGGGGGAACCAAATTATGTGGTGTGAATCCGGCAGTCAGCCTCAATGGAGCGCGGTCCTGTGTGGGCCCCCAGCCACCATGTAGGAATTGTTTTGTTCAACCATCCTGTCTATGCAGTGAGCAATCTAGACTTGTGTCTCTGTGATTCTCCTGGAGGAGAAAAAATTGTCACTGTTGGACTTGACTGCCTGGTAAATTTAATTCCATAAGAGCTTGGTGTGGATGAGATTTGCAAGTGCAACTCTTCTGTGCCAGTGCCTGTTTTGTATCAGTGACAAGGGTGAAGTCAGTGGATGCTGGAATGTTCTTTATTTCTTGTAACTCAACTGCATGTCAAACTCACTCCTACAGAAATATTCAGAGGTATTTAAAGTAGTTATTGCTTTTGCACCTGCTGAACTAATTATTGACAGTGACTCTTTACCACTTCACCATCATTTACAGACCTTCCCCCCAAGTGCTGGAAGGCTGTGCTGTTATTAAGGCTGATGTGGCTCTAAATTGCATTTGGTCTTCTCCAGTGAGCATGGGGCCAGGGAGAGGCAGCTGACCCCAGCCCAAGCTGGGTGCCTTGCCTTCAGCAAGCTACAAGCAGAGTGTGAGTAGAGCACAGCACAGAACTGTGCCTCACTGAAATGCTGAAGCTGTGCTAATCTCATCATGTGCCCTGCCTTGCCTTCTTGCATAAAAGTCTTGTCTTCTTTGTCCTGACTGCTTAATGAAGATGTATTTTATTGATATCTTTGTTTTACTAAGGGAGCTTTATGCTAACTTTAAAGTCCACTAGTGCCCTTGAAAGTATGTTTAATTGCAGACTAATCCAAGTGTGATATGGATTGGGAAACACAAAGGTGGCTTCAGTGGCATCTGAAATATCTCCCAGGAAAAGTGCAATTGTAAAAAGCCTGAAGTGTTGAAAGGGTGTATTTGTAAGGGATAGGTAGACTGAGTTCTGGGATTTGATCTTCTCATGTGAGCAATGTGATAATGACAGAAATGTTTAAAACTCCCAGTGAGAAATCAATCTTCCCTGCACAAAGGACACGTAATTGAGCTTTAGGCAGAGAACTGAGCTGGGTAGGGTTGAATTCACCTGCTCTGTTCATGAGTGTGGCTTAACAAAAGGCCCTCCCCACATCATGGGCATGGAAATAGTCATTGCTGCCCTTGGCACACCTGTGGGGCTCCCAAGAGGCTGCGACCAGGTGAGTTTTACTGACCCCATCTATAGTTTTGGGTGATTTAAGGCACAACTTCAAGTACACCATGCACTGCTGATGGACCACTTGGCACAAGAGTGTCCCTTGGATGACCTAAACCCCTGTGCCCTCTTTTGTACCCTGCCTTAGCTCCCAAATTGTCACCCCCATTTTATGTAGATGCTCCTGTAGGAGCAGACCATAAGCTCAGTTTTTCAGCCGCTCTATCCAGAGAACCTGAGATAAAGACAATCTTTGTAGTCTTAACTACAGTTCCCTATGTCTCCACTTGAATTCCTGATGGTTTCATAAATATGAATGAAAAAGCCAGTGGGACAGGATGATCTGGGTTCTTGAATGATGGAGCAGAAAGTGTCCAGAGTTGTCTGACACAGCAAGGGTTTGTTTTTTTTCTGCCAATTTGAAATCTCACATGGTATATACATTGTAGATGATGAATAGCCTGGTTAATGTGAGATTCCTCCCCTTGGCTGTAGATGTGAATTGATTTAAATTTGAGACTTTTTTTGTTGTTGATTTTTGTATTCATTTCTTTGGAAAGAGTCCTGAGACATCTATTTCCATAGAGGAAAAAATATACTTTCTCACAAGAGAAATTCTCTGCTACTGCATCTGGGAACACAGAAAAACAGTGCTCAGAGAGTCTGATATCCTCAGTTCCTTTGTTAGCAACCTTTCAGCGTTAACATTGCTTTAAGAGAGGAGGTTGAAGTTCATGATTTCTTGTTCTCCAGAATGCTCTTCTTCTAAGCTAGAAAATTAAATTCTACTCCCCTCTGATTTTTCTCTCTTCCTTTCTGTCTGCTGAGAACTTTGTTTTGCTATTGTAAATTGAATATGAAATTTGATTTAGCTGAAATAGCTGTGCAGGGTTTAAATAAAATGGAGATATTTTGTACCTTCAGGACTGTTTCTGTCTATCATTGCAGAGAATCTTTATCTCTGATAAAGACAGGATTAAAACAGGTTAAATATAAGTTGTTTAAACCACCCAATGAAGGTTTCATAAATGCTCATGCAGTAGCTCTGAAATTTTTGAAAAGATACACCAATAGGTGCTGGAAAACTTCTTTCCTAATAATGATACAGGAAAAATATTTGGTGGTGGATCCCCTGTACTGGCAGGTGAATGTCTTCATTAACAGGTAATGGTTGGGAGGTTTTTTTGCAAAAAGTCACTGACTGCTTTGTTAGTTTTGTACCTGATTATTTGTGCTCTTTCTGAAGTTACCTTGCCCCACAGTTACTCTATTTAGAAAATTACAATAAAAGCACAGTAAGTAATAAACAGCTATTACGCTTCTAGAAAAGTTCAGGGCTATTTTCTTCACCTCCCCCTCCCTGCTTGAAATAATAAGGCAATCAGCAAAGTTATTGGTTTCTGACATGCTGCATGCATTCTCTAACTGGTACCATTTATTCCTTTGATTGAACAAGAACCTCTTTCATTTTTCACATGTAGACTTTTCTTTCGGGTGAGTGCATATTCTTCGGTGGGGTACAGTAAAACTGGGCTAATTTAAAAATATCTAGCTTGACAACCAGCAGCCATCTGTCTTTGGCACCACAAAGCTGTATTTTGAAAGGGTCAATTTAGTCTGTGGGGAGTTTTAATATTATTGGTTCCCAGTTAAAACTGCCTTGAGAATCTCCCTCTGCATTACATTGCAGTCTGTGGACTGTACATAAACTGGTGGCAAATTGTCTTGCATGCTGTGAATCTGCCAATAGAAGCTGTACAAGTAGAAACCCTAGGAGAAGCAGTCAGTTAAATAGCCTTAAAAATTTAAAAAATTTAAAAAAATTTAAAAAAAAATAAAGTTAAAAAAATTACTTAGCTCTTAAATATTTTCTTGATAAATTCAGGGGAATATTGTCCTGTCCAAAGAGTGGCACCTCTTTAATAAGGCATTAAGGAGTAGTGGAAAAGACCACACAGGAGAGGATAATGCTTCTGGCAGTAAAGAACAATACAATAAGTAAATGTCTGAATTCTGAAATACCCCAAGGAATAGCTCAGTGAGATTCCATCATGAGAAATGCTCACAGAGTGATGCTTCCCTTTTTGACATGGAAATGACTAGCAAAATTCCATGACCACGGTTAATCTCTACCTCAGCTCTCTTAGGTGAATCCAGCCTCAGAGAAGGAGCCCATCAGAGCAAATGCTGCTTTAATTGAGGGTGTTGATACTGAACACATTTAGATGCCAGCCTGGTGTAAGCACACACTGAGGGGAGTTTAGTACAAAACTGCAAGGACCTTGCTGGTGGGTATTGAGGCAAGTACAGATTTGCTTTGCTGGAAAAGGAGATGAAAACCAAATTCAGTGAAGGTTTTCAAATTCAAATATGGAATGAAATAAAATACTGTTAATTTCAGCCAGAGGAAATCTTTCTGCTGATGATAATGGACACTGAATTTTATTCTAATTGTGCTGCTCTGATGCAGATTTAACCGATTTTATCTTTGCCTGACTCTAATATACAATCAGGAATACAGTGCTAGCAAATTTGGAGTGTTACAGTCCCCATTTATGGGGAGTTTCCTCTTGCAAACACTTCTGGAGAATGCACAAAAGATTTAAAAAATAACACGGTCCCTTTTAAGAAGTAGATGGAAAATCATATGCAAATAAAACTGGGAGCATTAGCAGCTCATTTCTCTGATGGACCAGCTTAACAGCACTAGGGCAAATATATTTTAAAAGCAGCTGAACCAGCACAGGTTGCACTTGCAGTCCTTTCCCTTTGTATATGCAAGGGCATAATTACATGCTTACCACGCACTTTGGATCTGCACAATTGAGCAGCCCTACACGTGTGTCTGCAATGGCAGCCTTCATGTGGAAATGGCTTGCCTATTGCACTCGTTTTATGTTTAAAGCTAGTGACAAACACACTCATGCACAAAAGAACGCCATCAGTGCTCGTTACAGAGTATTGTGTCCATTGGCACAGATGGAAAACCTGCACCAGGACATCAGCATATTCATTCCCCAGAACCAAAGGCTGTAAATTCAAAACGTGGATTTGATCACTGGAAGGGATTTGGAAAGGCAGAGTTTGAAAAGTGCTGTCAGGGTACAGTGCTGCTAGTGCTCACAGGAATCTCAGGTACATCTGCAGCAAAAGGAAACGGATCTGTTTCAGTCCTGCACACTGATTTCAAGCACCCTAATTAACCACTCAAAAGTAGGGCTTGTTGCTCTCCTGTGCTGCTGGCACTCCTGTGTGTTGGATGGGTTTGTTCCTGGAATTTGATTTGCCTTAAGAAACAGGTGTAATCTGCTGTAAGAGATAGGTGTAATATTTTTTCTTTTATTGATGAAAACTAACCAACAAATGCAAATTGTTGGCAATGTGTGAGGGTCAAATCCACCAATGGTATTTGAAATATAGGTTTTGATCCACTGAAATTTGTCCAGCAAATAGAACAAACAATTATGATAATTTCTACTATATGGGAAGAAAACAAAACAAAATACCTTTGTGTTTTGAAGACATTCTGCTTGTCCTTCCTTTGATATGAGACTTCAGAGAAGATCTTGCTTCGGTGTCTGTGGATAATGTGCTGTAGCTTCTGCTTTGTGCTCTCTCACAAACTTCTGAAGCTGCAAAGAGGAAAGAGTGGGAGATGAGAAGATGTAAACAGAAAATGCAGCCAGCACTGTATTTTACAGCAGAACATGGCACTGCTACATTTGACCTATGTATATTTTGCAGGAGGAATTGGGTGCCTTGGTTATGACAGAGGACAGACACGGAAATGCCTTGATGCAGTGGAGATTTATAACCCTGATGGAGACTTTTGGAGGGATGGACCCCCTATGCCTTCTCCCCTCCTCTCCTTGCGGACAAACTCTACCAGTGCAGGCTCTGTGGAAGGGAAGCTGTACCTCTGTGGAGGATTTCATGGAGCAGGTACTAACATGAGTCCAGCATTCTCGGTGTGGTTAAAATCAGTTTCACTGGACACAGACTGACCTGAAGGGTGGTCAGCCCTATCAGGTGGCACTGGCCCTGGAGCCACAGACCTGATTCTGCCCTTTGGACTGCCAGTCCCTAATGTCAATATGAATTGGATTCTGTTTGACTTTTGCTTTTTATCTTAACAAAACACAAAAAATTAAGGATGCTTCTGATCTGCACTGAACCTGTCCAAATCTAAAACCTCAGCAGAATTATTCAGGATTTACATTTAGAGTCACAGAAATGAGGAGCTTAGTGTTTTATGGACCTTAGAGAACTTGGGCATATTTGTGGAAGATTAAGGCCCTATCCACCAGTCCTTAGCCATGTTATCTCATTCTGCCTACTTATTTACGTGCTTTTTGTAATCAGCATTGAAAAAGCTTGTATACTTAGAATACCCTGGGAAGGGAACTGAGATACAAAGAGACCAAATTTCCAGATCTGGTGGTTTTAAATAATCCCAGCCCCATGGACACCTTTCTTCTTCTAAGTCTTCTTCCTTCCAAGTTTGCTTAGTTTTATCTAGATCTCCAGTGCATTTAACCTATATTTATTTCTTTTCCATTAGAAATGTAAAGGATTGCAAAATGAGCACACTTACATGATTCTGCTACATACAGCTCCTACCCCAATTTCCTTTCTAGAAAAGCAATAGTAGAGATAACAATAGCAGTTATCCACTGCTAATAAATATCATGTCAGCCTCACTGTTGACCAGGAATGGTCACATGGTATCACTGGGAGATCCGTCCCTCTCATTACACTTTTACTTGTATAACAACCTCTAAACTTAAAGCTGCTGTTATTTCAGAATGATGATTTTCATCAGCTAGTTCACAACCTGCCTTCTGCTCTCATTTGCTACTGTTTGAGGAAGCTGCTTCCTGAAAAGAATAGTTTGGCACTCCCTAGCAGGCAGGTTCTCATGTCATTTCTGACGGAAGTTCTGTGACATCAGAGAAATTATGCTTATAACAACTCACCATATTTCCATTGCAGACCTTGTGCCATTCTAGTTGTCTTTTTCTCAGCAGCACTATGAAAGAGCCTAAAGTTAGTGGGTAAAAATTTAAGAAGGCTAATCATGGGAAATGGCTAAGTCACCATCCCTGGAGGGATATAAAAGACGTGTAGATGAGGAACTTGGGTACATGGTTTAGTGGTGGGCTTGGCAGTGCTGTGTTAATGGTTGGACTGGATGATCTTAAAGGTCTTTTCCACCCTAAACAATCTGATGACTCTGTGATCATTAGCACTGAAAAATGAAGCAATTTTGTTCCAGATGACTAACAGATTAGCATGAGATTTTCTGACTAGGGTAACTTCAGAGCCATAAAAACACTTTCTGTACAATAACACCACATTCTGTCACTGAGTCATGTATAAAGAGTGGTTGTTCTGGGAGAGGTTGAAAGTCTTCCTGTGGATTTCAAGAAGGCCATCTTTTGTATATTTGTATAATGCTAGCTCAATGAGATCCTGATTCCTCCCTCTACTATTGCAATCTATCATTATGCATAGACCTCCTCTGCACTAATAGTGTTATTTAGATTGGAAACAAGAAGTCAAAGTTAGAAAATGCCGGTTTTGCAGTTATCTGTGCAACCTGAATTCTGACCCCCTACATGTGCATTCTGTACACCAGTAAAAAGTAGTGTATACTTGTGTTGTTAGACATTGCTATGGTGTCTATTAACAAGGCAGGCAAAATAAGAGTCTCACTGTCAAATCAAGTGTAACCATATAATTTAGGAGTTGAGAGGAACCTGTGCCTTAAAGACAGACATCCTAATGTGACTTTCAAGTTACTATAGGAAAAGGGCTTTCTAAATGGTCACAGTAATGGCTTCCAGCTACAATCAGGACAAGGGTGGGCAGAGGCCATAAGCTGAACATGAAGATGTCACCTGGCTGGCCTCTCTCCCTGGCCACATGTTCTCTGCATGCTGGAAAGGGCTCTTGCCTGATGTACTCTTTGAGGATGAAGGGTGCAGTGAGGGGGTTATTACTGTCACATGGGACATCCTTGGAGAGGGTGACTTGACTCTGCACTTTCACAATTGCAGCTGCTCAGCAGCTTCAAGGTACAGAACAGCATGTGCTGCTGCTGCTTTAATAGAAGATAGTATTATTTTAGAATGTGTTTGTTTGGTTTTGGTCTTTGGGCTTCTTGGCATGTCACTTTGCTTTTTGTGAGGGATGCGAACAAAAGAGGATATTCCAATTTTACAAAACATTGTAATTTAGTTTCATCCAAGTAGAGTTCTTGGAACAAGCTGGAAGCACAGCTGTAGTCTTTGGGTTTTCTGCCTGCTGAACGCCAAAGGGCTGCTGTGATCATTCAAGAATAAGCACAGCAGAGAGAAAAGAAAGGAAAAGAAGCCAAAATCACTGCTGCAATGAAAGTGTTAGCCTATGGGGCTGAAACTAACCCCTTGTATAGTATAGATCTGTGCCAATCTCTTCAGCCTTCACTTGCCTTTGCTTAAACCCACTCCTGATTCAGCAGGAAGCTGACCTAGTAAAGATGTATGTTCATTTTTTACTGATATGTATCAGGCTCTGTATGCCTTCCTGCATGTGTATAGATCTAAGTGGATCATTGGAGCCCAGAGATGCTGTAGCCAAAGCTGAAAAGCAGCTGTTAACTGCTTAAAGGGTCTGAAATTTGCAAGAAAGGATGAGTACTGCTCAGCTACTGTATTTTCTAAGTCCCACATGACAATTGAAGCTTTGTGATGGCAGGATTCCCATTCCATATGTATTTCCTGTCACAAGTGCTTGTCTGCCTGAAGGGAGGACAAATGGTGCAGCCCTAACACCATCCTCAAGAGAAAAGGAAGAAAAACTGCAGCTACTGGAGAGGGGAGTCAGCCTGGCCAGCTGACAGTAGCAATCGGAGTCCTTCTAAAAGATGAGTGTGTTCAAGCTTCCTTTGAACTGCAAGGAATATTTTTCAATGTTGAGATATGTTGGTAAAGCCTGTAAGGCTTCCCCTGCTGTTAGAGGTTCAGGTTAGAAGCTTGTTCAAAGCTGGCCATGGAAGAGGAAAGGGGATTTATTCAACTGAAGCTTAGACACTTCTCTGCAGTGCCTACACCTAAGGCCTTGGTAACCCCAGGCTCCCTGCAGCAGATGGAGAACCACAGACACTTCAGAGGGAGATTCAGATCCTTGGTGCTTTATGTCTGCTCTGAAGGAGCAGAAAGAAATTCAGAATCCTGAGGAGCTCTCCTTCTCCTAAAGCTTCATATTTAAATCAGGATGTGAGGGACTCTAGCTTGGCTTACCTAGACCAAGCACATCAGGAACTTGGTGTCTATGGTTTGATGGTGCAAACACCTGACAGACCTCTGTATTGTTATCACAAGCTAATGAATGTTGTATGTTTTTACAGTCAGAAATAATTAAAAAACCCACTTCTTTTAAATCCTTAGCAAGGAGGAAACATCTGATGGCCAGTAGTTTATACAAACAGTTTATTCATCTGCTATCCAGCAGCTTATACAAATTAGTTCATTTTCCACTAAAACTACTATGGTAAACAGGAGCCGTTAACACATTTGCCTCAGCTCCAGCCAGCTCATGAAGCCTTGTGTCGTGAGTGTTGTCATTTTCTAGCACTGTTGTAGCATTCATCAAGATAATCAGACACTTTTTAATAATTTTCCATTAGTTTATAGTTTAGCACAGAGGGAAAACATTACCCCTAGTATGAATACTCAGCAGGGCTCAATGTGCAACAGCCAGACAGATTTCTGCTGAAATACTGCCGCATTTCCTGCTGTAAGCGTGGATTTTGAACCAGCCTTTACAGCCTGACTGTACAGTATTCTTGTTGACATGTTTTATTTTCTCTTCATTGAACAAAAACCTGTCAACCTGCACAGGCTGACAGCTACTGACATCAGCCTGTGCCCAGCAGAAGCAACCTCATTAGCGTGGCTCCCTGATGGAGGGGGGAGCAGCTCTTCAGGTATGCAGGACTGCACCCTTGTAAAATGCCTGCCAGATCAGGTTCCCTTTCTTTTTGTCTGCTTCTGAGCATTATAAATATGTTTTTCTGGTAAAAGTAATGAAAGAAAGGGTGTGTGCCTACTTGCTGGAACCATGTCATCTGCTGTCACTGTCGCTTGTAGTCTGTATCTGGTGGCTGGGAAGTGTGGCTTTAGTTTCAGGCTATAGATGTTAGTCCAGCTGGCTGTTTCTTAGATTTGAAAGAAGGAAGCTTAAATGCAGAGCTGATTTTTTCCATTTTTTTTTTTTAAACTCAAAGCATTCTGACTGTATCAGCGATGTGTGGCCAGCAGGACCAGGGCAGTGATTGTCCCCCTGCACTGGGCACTGTTGAGGCCACAGCTCAAATCCTGGGTTCAGATTTGGGCCCCTCACTACACAAAAGACATTGAGGTGCTGGATTGTGCCTGGGGAAGGGCAGTGGAGCTGGGGAAGGGGCTGGAGCACAAGTCTCCTTGGCAGTAGCTGGGAGTGTTTAGCCTGGAGAAAAGGAGGCTCAGGGGGGACCTTATGGCTCTTCAACACCTGAAAGGAGATTGTAGCCAGGTGGGGGTTGGCTCTTCTCCCAGGTGTAACAAGTGACAGGATGAGGAAACAGCCCCAAGTTATGCCAGGGAGGTTTAGATGGGATATTAAGGAAAATTTCTTCACTAAAAGCACCTTCAAGCACTGAAATGGGCTGCCCAGTACAGTGGTGGAATCACCATCCCTGGAGGTGTTTAAAAGCTGTGTAGCTGAGGCACTGAGGGACGTGAGTTAGCGGTGGCTTGGCAGTGCTGGGCTAATGGTTGGGCTTGGTGATCTTAGAGGGATTTTCCAGCCTAAGCGATTCTATGAAGTTAATTAAAATGCCACCTTTACTGTGATACTGTCACCCATGTGACATCAGCTGATGTGCAAAGTACAGGTACAACCACCTCAATGCAAATTAT